GCAGGGGCCGGGGCAGAGAGACAAGCGGAGAGCTGCTGCCTGGCCTCGCCTCCCGGGCGCCCCAGCGAGCTTGGGCGCGTGAACACGCCTGCGCGCGCCCGGGCCCTTCCTGGCAGGCTGCTTGTAAGATGAGTGAAGAAGCAGGTGGGGGAGAGGGGAGGCAGCCAGCGAGAAAGCGAGGGGAGCGCGGGCGCTGAGCGGCGCTCACTTGGAGAGCGGCGAGCGAGCGAGACGAGCCTGATCCATGTCCCTCGCTGCCTCCCTGCCAGGCGCGCGAAGATGATGGCCATGAACGCCAAGCAGCCTTTCGGCATGCACCCGGTGCTTCAAGAACCCAAATTCTCCAGCCTGCACTCCGGCTCCGAGGCCATGCGCCGAGTATGTCTCCCAGCCCCGCAGGTACGTAGTGGAGCATAATTACCGCTCTAAGGCACATTTTTTGACAGGCACTTGCTTCATGTTTTTTTCATGTCGCCCAGAACAATCGCCGCTGTCTGAACCCCTCTCCTTGTCTCCCCCGCGCTCTCTCCCGGCGCGCTCTCTCTCTCTCTCATTCATGTCTCTGATCCACACGTCTGTTCCAGCAGAGCCTCTGTCTCCGTATTAATTTTTATGACCTGGGCTTTGAGGAGAGGCATCTCGGTTGCTTGAAAATGTGTTTTAATCCTGAGTTGACAGTATTCCCCACTGACCGTGCTGTGCGCCTTCTCGCTTGCAGCTGCAGGGTAATATATTTGGAAGCTTTGATGAGAGCCTGCTGGCACGCGCCGAAGCTCTGGCGGCGGTGGATATCGTCTCCCACGGCAAGAACCATCCGTTCAAGCCCGACGCCACCTACCATACCATGAGCAGCGTGCCCTGCACGTCCACTTCGTCCACCGTGCCCATCTCCCACCCGGCCGCGCTCACCTCGCACCCGCACCACGCCGTGCACCAGGGCCTCGAGGGCGACCTGCTAGAGCACATCTCGCCCACGCTGAGCGTAAGCGGCTTGGGTGCCCCCGAGCACTCTGTGATGCCAGCGCAAATCCACCCGCACCACCTGGGCGCCATGGGCCATCTGCACCAGGCCATGGGCATGAGCCACCCACATGCCGTGGCGCCGCACAGCGCCATGCCTGCATGCCTCAGCGACGTGGAGTCGGACCCGCGAGAGCTTGAGGCCTTTGCCGAGCGCTTCAAGCAGCGGCGCATCAAGTTGGGGGTGACCCAGGCGGACGTGGGCGCGGCTCTAGCCAACCTCAAGATCCCCGGCGTCGGCTCGCTCAGCCAGAGCACCATCTGCAGGTTCGAGTCTCTCACTCTATCTCACAACAACATGATTGCACTCAAGCCAGTGCTCCAAGCTTGGCTGGAAGAAGCCGAGGCCGCCTATCGAGAGAAAAACAGCAAGCCGGAGCTCTTCAACGGCAGTGAACGGAAGCGCAAACGCACGTCCATCGCGGCACCAGAGAAGCGCTCGCTAGAGGCCTACTTCGCTATCCAGCCGCGGCCCTCATCTGAGAAGATCGCAGCCATTGCTGAGAAACTGGACCTTAAAAAGAACGTGGTGAGGGTCTGGTTCTGCAACCAGAGACAGAAACAGAAACGAATGAAATACTCGGCTGTCCACTGACTGCTGCCGGGCACGGTGTTCGGGGCCGGGAGAGCTGAGTGTACGTCCCTCCAGAGTGGGGGAACAGTTCTGGGGGCTCCTAGCAGGTCAGGTTCTCTCCCCTGAAGCCACAAACTTTCCCCTTTTATCCCACCTGGTTGCTTCCCGGCCTTCTCTTTCCCTTCTTTCCGTTGTATTTTTTCCACCAGAAAAGTTTGGGCGCTAAGAAAAAAATTCATAAAGGGCAGGCCTGGAGGGATTCGTGCTGTCCGTGGTGCTGAAAATTGCCCTCGCGCGCTGGACTGCGCGACCTCAGGGCGGGAGCCCAAACACAGGGGATAGTCAACTGACCCGACCGCCTGACTCCGGGGTAAAGGCGTCACTTTGCTAAGCACGATCAGATGAGGCAGTGAAAGGATGGGAAGGAAGAGATAAGTAGTAATACAAAGTCTAACTGGGGCACAAACATGCACTAGAGATTTATTCAGAGTATATAAGATACATAGAAAGTGTATGTTTCCAAAGGATAGCCTTATTCTCCCTTCCCGCCTAAATTTTATCCATCTCATCCTTTGGTTTTCCGTAAGTTTTTCTAAGGTTAGCATGGATTAGATTCAGGGAAAATATGCAGGGAGGTTCGGGCTCCAAACTGTTCTCCGCCGTAAGCTGGGCTCCAGAAAG